GACACTATTGATCGTTTATAAACATGCAAATTGCGCTCTTGAATGTTCCGTGGCGTTAATGAAGTGCTTCTTGGTGTTATAGAACGTATATTCGCCTCATTGATTCTACACTTCGCGAAAATGAATATCTTTTTAGCCTAAATGATCAGCAAAAGGTGTAAATTCGGTGGCTTAAATATGCAAATGAAATATTTAACAATGTTACAAAATATGCCTATTTTTCAATTTTCGAGGCGTTGCGACGGTCCCTACGGACTGGGAAATAATTATGGCCCCTAACGCAGTCAGAAAATTATTTCGAATCAAACCAAATCTGATTTGGTTCTTTCTTAAGTAAAGTCTTCCTGTTGACAGAGTTTCCGGCAAAATTATTTTTGACGCGAAATTGACAGGGTGGAAATAAGAGAGACAGCCTCTTAAAAACGAAACATCGTTAATAGGAAAAATTTGTTAGGATAACATTTTCTTAGGACTAACAGGTAGAAATTGTCAATTTTTGACACTGCGGCTAAATTGTTTCTCTGTTATAGTAAGATCACATCCGTCATGCTACGGATGACTCAAAGAAAACTTGATTGAGACCTCATTTGCGTAAGTTACAGTCTATTGAATCGAACGAAGTGAAACAGAGGAGCAAATTAAGGAGCAGATAGCCCTTTTCTAAAACAAATAAATAATATGTTATGTCTCCGAGGTCGTGTGAGTCTTGTTATCCTGCCTGTACCTGTACTATCCCGTATCCCGCGTTCTCTGTCTCGCCTTCCTATTTTCATCTCGCATCTGGCCATTAAAACTTCTCGTATCCCATATTCCGCCTCGATTTTAAGCCTCATCCCGCATCTCGCCAAACTTATGCTGGACCCCCCAAATTTCACAACTTGCGTGAGTGTCATAATTTCTATAATTATGCGAGCAATCGTCACGAGGTATTATTGGGTCAAAATGTGTAGACAGAACCACGCAGAATAACCGTGGACTACGCATGTGTCAGAATGTGTCACATCGCATACAGTGCCCAGTGCCCCAAACTAATGCACGGATTCAAACATGGCAGAGCAGGGTTTCTCTTTTGACAATGCTGGAAGTAGTATTTTTTTGTTGTTGTTTAAGAGCAACTTAGAATCGTACATCTTAATCTCTAAGTGCGCGATCCATCACCTGTGGATTTTATTTTGTGTTCGTACCGTAACGATGACATTGGGGACAATGCAGAACCCCGCGCCACCAAAAAGACAAAAACGAGTAAGATGCCCATATTTCAGTCGATCGGCTTTCATCACTCTGGTAGCTGATACACTTGAATGTGCGAAATTACGTAAAATAAATCGATTGCAACTGACTAGAGATTGTAATGTAAGAAAAAAATCCACTTTTGCGAACTGGGGTTGGATATAGGACCATGCAAGCTTGTAGAATTAGAATTTACTAAATTTTCGTTATAATTATCCGCTTATTAAAGTTGGCCCCTAAAAGAAATGGAAACCTTTCAGTTGTACTTTTTAAGCATTTCTTCATTGTATACACGGATGACATTCATAGTTTTCATCAGCCAAGTTCTCGATGACGATTGATGACAGTAAATTCATATTAAATTTATAATTTGAATGAGCTCCAAACGTACCGATCGTAACGCAATTTTAATAGATTGTCTTTAATAGGCTAGCCTGATGACGGTTGCTATTGTTACGATCTTTGAATTAGCTCTATAACTACAGTACCAAGTGATCATTCAACCTAACACCTATCATCGCAGAGCACTGCAAGTGTTTTTGTTTTTGAAAATGTGTGAAAGTTGCATCCTAAGGGTGTTGATTGATGTGATGTTTGAAATTAATCGTTATCAGTTATATACTAACATAATATTTCGTTGATATTACAGCTGTACTTTATTGAGAATGCAGCTGAGAGATCCAAGGTAGACTCTTGCACCCGACTGTCCCTTAAAAAAAGGTTAGGACAATTTGAGGGGCAGGGATAACCAGCCTAGGTCTCATTTTGGGGCTCTTTTGAGATATGATTAACGCAAAACCTGTTGGAGAAACAAAACTGAGGCTTCTTTTTGTCCTGGATAAAAGAAAGATTAAATTCATTAAAAAAAAAAGACAGATCTAGAGTAATGGTTCTCTACCAATCTGTAACTCACATTCCAAAAAGCTAGGCAAATCTGAGCAAAAATGAAAACAGCCCAAAATTTGACGGCCCCTTAATTATTTATGCATTATGGGTTTGTTTAGTACCCAAATTTAATCCTTTTGAGCTGACTTTTATAGATATTTTTTGAGGGATATTTGTTATATTGCAGAAAGACCGTACAGTTAAGTACTTTATAAGTAAGTTTTCTTGTTGCCTGGTTTACAACTTAATTGGGCCTTACATGGAAAAGGTTTGTAATAGCCAAGTGTTCAATCTACCCTACACCTACTGAAGCATGCCAGAGTCTTTAACCATACATTGCATGCTGATTGTTTGTGTAGCAATCTGCTGTAACAGAGCACAAGAAGACTTGATCATTCTCCAAAAAAAATCATTTTTATATAGTAGCTTATTATAATTTGTATATGCTTGATGCACTTAATGACTCAATCATGATCATACGGAGTCAATTATATACTGGCTATCAATTGCAAACTGGCTATCAATTGCACAATTTGCTAGAACCAGCTGATTCTGAGTGTTTAATATGGGGTGGACACTAATTAGTAAGGGTCTTGAGATTGCCCACTTAATGCAAGTTTTACTGTAATTGGGCATTCATTTGAATCACCCTGTTGTCTAGCAGAGCCTGGGTGCCTCAGGCCACCAAGTTTTGTCTTAATGAAAAACTTGCATAACTTCCTTTTTATTAATGCTTCTGAGAGCTAGGCACCCCACACTTCCTGCATGAGAACCTGTGGGCACCCTGTGATTCTTAGACCACAGCCTTGTTGATTGATTGATTGATTTCTTTCTTTCACTAGAGCCAATGTCATATCAAGCTATCTGAAAATAAGAGTAGTCAGCTCCTTGCCCATCTTAAGGTGTTTCTAGTCAACTTCCTGGAAGATCTTTTCAGCCTTGTGTATCCTTCCTTGAGTAAGCCACATCCTTCATTCCTTCACAGCCATGATGATCTTCAAAGGGTGCCTGAAGGGTAAGTTGTTTTCATTTTATTTACTCATTTTATTGTTATATAGGTCTTGTATGATTACTCTTCTCCATTTATACAAAATGGAGTCTTATATATTTCAATAAAACAATAAGCTATACTGACACATCAATACAACGCGGCACTGGCCATGATAAAATAACATATTCCATTTGTTGCTCTTCTTGTAACTCTAGTTATTCTAATTATATTTATTATTATACCATTGTCATTATTATTTCTTATTTTGTCGTTTTCGTTGTTGTTGTTAATGTGATTAGTGTTTCGTTCTACCAAAATCACACGATTTCTAGGTAACGAACAGTCTTTATTTTTATAAACTACGTGCGCTCTCACGTAGATATTTTTATCTAAAACCTTTTGCGATTAGATAACATCGACCGCTGTCTCATGTGTCACCTGAGGTGCACGTGATCTCCGAGTGAGCTCTCGTTACAATTAGTACTGTCATCATCATTTTAGTCATTTATATTTATTGATAACTAGTATTACCTTTTCCAGCCGGTAAATTTTTGTCGTTTCTCTGAAATATTTCTACGCACATTAATGACTGTTGGCTGGGTTCAGACAACCACCAATTATTCAAACTCATTTTTACCCGGACATCCTATTTATTTGCAGGCAGTCCTTCAAGTGATAATGAAGAACGAAGGCCTCAACTACTATCGCTCCAACTTATTTTATGTTAAATTTCGTCCTTGAAGAAGCCGTTTTAGAGATTTAACATAACCTCGAAACAATTTGCTGTTATTAACCTATCCCCGCATTTTGGATATATCAATAACAGTAGAGAGATTACAGTGGTTCGATTTACAGACCATTACATCATTGCAGCTCATTGGCGGTCTACGGTATCTGTAAAATGGAACGGTTAAGGCTTCATTGAGTTCTGTTATATTGTCACCTCTCGCGATTCCTTCTCGAAAATTCGTGTACAGGAACAGAAAAATAGCATGGTTACTGTATCCCCATAATATGGGTTCATGACAACCATCATAAAATATAGGCAAACCGTAGGGGGAAAGCGTAGTGAAAGAGATGCAGAATAAAGAAATAAGTTGAATCAAGTTTGTCGTTATTGTCACATCTGGACTCTTTACAGGACAGTCGTGTACCGGGACTGTGAAATTACATGGTTACGGTATCCCCATAATATGGGCATGTGATAACCATCAATATAAAGGCAGATCGTAGGGAAAAGCGTAGTGAAAGAGATGCAGAATAAAGAGATAAGTTGAATGAAGTTCGTCTATATTGTCACATCTCGACTCTTCACAGAGTAGTCCTATACCGAGACTGTAAAATAGCATGGTTACGATATGCCCATAATATTGGTGTGTAATAACCATATAAAATATAGGCAAATCGCAGGGGAAAAGCATAGTGGAAGAGATGCAGAAGAAAGAAATAAGTTGAATCGTTGTTAAGTTTGTCTATATTGTCACATCTCGAATCTTTACAGCACAGTCGTGTACCGGGAGTGTAAAATTGCATGGTTACCGTATGCCCTTAATATGGGTATATGACAACCATTAAAATAAAGGCAGATCGTAGGGGAAAAGCGCAGTGAAAGAGATGCAGAATAAAGAGATAAGTTGAATCAAGTTTGTCACATCTCGACTCTTCACAGAGTAGTCCTATACCGAGACTGTAAAATAGCATGGTTATGATATACCCATAATGTGGGTGTGTGATAACCGTATAAAAATGTAAGAAAATTGTAGGGGAAAAGCGTAATGAAAGAGATGCAGAAGAAAGAATTAATTTGAATCAAGTTTTTCTATATTGTCACATCTCGACTCTTTACAGCACAGTCGTTTACCGGGACTGTAAAATTGCATGGTTACCGTATCCCGATAATATGGGTATGTGATAATCATTATAAGATATAGGAAAATCGTAGGGAAAAAGTGGGGTGAAGAAAGTGAATAAAGAGATAAGTTGAATCAATTTTGCCTATGATGTCACATCTCGATTCCTTAGTTACAGAACAGTCGTGTATCGGGACTGTTAAAATGCATGGTTACCGTATTCCCATGTTACAGGAAGATGATAAGTCATGTAGTAGGAACTCGCAAGATTAGGCCTGCTATTAAGTAGTCAAGGCAAAACCAAACGGGGATATAGTTTTTATTGGGTTTTAAGTAAGAGTTGTACATGTCATAAATACGTGATGAAATTTCGAAATTAACTCCGTTCTTCAGTTGCGTGTAATGGCATTAAAGTATGGTCTAAATCGCTAGGGTAAAATGCACAAGATTAACCCCGTTTTAAGTCGTCCTCATAATAAAACAAACTTTGAGTAAAGAGTGGTAAGGTAAGAGTGGATATGTGAGTTGGCTAAGTCTCGGTATAAACTTGAACTCTACCGAAGCCGTGTTCAAAAAATAAAATAGTTTTTTATTCTGCGTGCTTTTTAAAACATTTTTAATTCTAGAACTGCTTTTTTCATAATGGCTATGCCCATAATATGGGTATACGTTGACCATGCTATTTTACAGTCCCCGTACACGAATGTTCTCAAGGGAATACAAACGTTATAGCATCGGGATGTGACAACATGGACAAAATTGATCAAACAAATCTCTTTAGTCACATTCTTCGCTACGCCTTTCCCCTACGATCTGCCTATATTTTACGATGGTTATCATATACCCATAATATGGGATGCTGTAACCAGGCTATTTTACAGTCCAGGCACACGAATGCTCTGTAAAGAATCGAGATGTGTTTATTAGATATTCAACAAAAGTACTTCGCCGTTGCGCTACTTTGCATGCCTTCGGTGCGTATTACTTTCAGTGGTTTCCAAATTGCTGGCATGTTCTTTTTGACAGGCAAACCAAGCTTAATTTTCGTTATAGCGTTTCAGAAATAAACATAAGCTTCACTGAACTTTTAAGCCTAAATTTCCAGAGTTAGCGTTCTTTAACATATTTATGCATTCGTCATTGGCAATCAGACAAAAGATATTTTGTCGAGAATATAATAACTAACTACTATTCACAACTAGTCACCGACACTGAGGTGATTAGTTGTTTTTAAGTACATACTAAATCAGTGAGATATTATAGCACAAAAAGATACTTTTTAACTCATTTATTCCAGGAACGCCCACAATATTTTCGGGCTCGCAAAACTCGCGAGTTGCTCAAAAGTGAATTGCAAAGGATGTTCGCCGTTTGAGTAAAGCGCCTTCAACGCTATCCACTGTTTTAGTATATACTAACGATGGTTATCACATACCCACAATATGGGGATACTGTAACCATGCAGTTTTCCAGTCCCTGTACACGACTGTTCCGCAAAGAATCAAGATGTGATAATATAGACAAAATTGATTCAACTCATCTCTTTATTCACCTTCTTCACTACGCTCTCCTCCCCCCCTCCGATCTGCCTATATTTGATGTTGGTTATCATATACCCATATTATGGGGATTCGGTAACCATGCTATTTCACAGTCCCTTTATACGACTAGTCTGTGAAGAATTGAGAAATGATAATATAGACGAACTTCATCCAACTTATCTCTTTATTCAGCCTCTCTTTCACTACGCTTTTCCCGTAAGATCTTCCTATATTTGATGATGGTTATCATATACCTATACTAAGGGGATACGGTAACCACGCTATTTCACCGTCCCTGTATACGACTAGTCTGTGAAGAATTGAGAAATGATAATATAGACGAACTTCATCCAACTTATCTCTTTATTCAGCCTTTCTTTCACTACGTTTTTCCCGTAAGATCTTCTTGTATTTTATGATGGTTATCATATACCCATATTATGGGGATACGGTAACCATGCTATTTCACAGTCCCCGGCGGTAAACGACTAGTCTGTGAAGAATCGAGAAATGAAAATATAGACGAACCTCATTCAACTTATCAACCCTAACCCCAGCCTCTCTTTCACTACGCTTTTCCCATACGATCTGCCTATACGTTATGATGGTTATCATATACCCATATAATGGCGATGTTAACCATGCTATTTTACAGTTCCGGTATACGACTGTTCAGTAAAGAATCGAGATGTGACAATATAGACAAACTTGATTCAACTTTTCTCTTTATTCACCTTCTTCAACACACTTTTCCCCTACGATCTGCCAATAATTATTTTATGATGGTTATCGTATACCCACATTATGCAATCCATGCTATTTTACAGTCCCCGTACACGACTACTCTGTGAAGAGTCGAGATGTGACGAAAAAGACCAAACTTGATTATCTCTTTATTCTGTATCCTTTTTACAACGTGTCTCCTATTTGAAACTATGCGCGCAGTAATGAGGATCACGATCAGTAGACTTTACTTTGTTTCAAAACGGGTAGTGTTCGGTGTTGTAAACTGGTCTGGGTACGGGGGTTAGACGTAAAAATCCTAACACTCTTTGTTTGGTTGATTCTCTCTTCAATCTTTTTTGTTCTCAACAACGGGGACTAGCCACACTCCACAAAACACACTGTGCATTGTATGGATATAGGGCGATGTGTTATTAGGCAATAAAAGTGCACCAATTGCACAGAAATGCATCCTAGTATGAACAACGAAGAACTCCTAACTTTCCCCTAGGAAGTGAAACATATAGTCTTTGATGATATCGTACGATATCGCAAATTTTCCCATGAACAGAATACCACTATCTCTTAAATCATACTGCACGTTGGTTCCGCAGGGTAAATTGGAGCATGGTCTGTAATAGACTTCCAAAACAATTAAGACAGGCATAAGCAAAACTCATTACCAAAATTAACTAAAAATGAACACAATAAACCTGCATAGAAACATTTCAAAAATATTATCCTTTATAGCAATAATTGCTTTACATGTATTAACATGTAAATAATTGCTATACGCTAAATCCATAACCACAGAGTCACAATGGTTGCTGAGTACACAGACAATGAAATGACAGGAGTGCAATTACAAAATTCTCCAATATTTTTAGAATATTACTACACACTACACACTACACTACTACACACTAAAAATTGTTATCAAATGCAAATCATTTTACTTATTTATACACATTTTATCAAGCAGCAATTCCATTACATGCATAATTACAGAACAGTTAGAGACAACGATATGGCTATACCTACCATTACACTAATACAAATGCTTCCTTGTATACAACCTAATGGAGTTCTGTGTCCAACAATGAACAACTGGGTCCTCACTATCCCAGGGGCTGTGACAGTTTAGACACTTCTCGAGTAAGCTACCCGTAGGGGGTAAGGTGGGCACAAGAAGCAGTGCACCAGTGTTTGGACAAGCAGGTAACACATTTTCAGGGGCATACATGCAAACATATTGCAAAGACCCCATTAAGTTCAAAGGAATTGCCAACTGTGAGACGGGGCTAATAACAGATTTGTTAGCTGGGGATGCTGCTGAACACTGAGAAGTGACAGCAGTTGCAGTAAGCACCAAATCAAGAACATCATCTGGTGCTTCGTGTGCACTTTCTTTAAGATAATGAAGATACTTTAAATGATCACAGACATCTCTCTCTCTACTGCAAGATAGACAGGAAAATCCCTACTCACATGACACTATAGCAGGATTTGGCTCAAGTACACACACCAAACTTGATGAATTATTTAATTTAACCACTTTCAAAGGTGTCTGAAGAAGAAATTTTGATAAGAAAATAAAACTATTATTGTTAAACATGGACTTAATACATAATGTACTCTTAGCTTTGGATTTTAAAGACGTCAAATGAGGCAATTTGTAGTAGGCCAGAGATGAAAATGGGTTTGGGAAGGCCCGTTCTCCATAAATTATCAATTCTTGATACATGATTGAGAGATCTATTGCTGGGTATAGGTCTCTGACCTAGGTGACTGGTGATGGTACATGTGTAGGCCTGCTTGGAAAGATTTAATCTGAATGTATTATCATTCAAAACGTTCTCACACAAAACAATTTGTTGTTAAAATTGATGACATTCCAACAGGAACGAGGACCATGGCTGTCTACAACACCTCATCATAAGTCCAGAAGTTACGTAGTAAGCAGTAAATACACTTTTAAGAAATCAAACAATGTCAGGAACATGATAGTAGAGTGGCAGTAGATGCAAAGCATGTATTCTAATCAACTAATTTGTGTGGTGCTGTACATTATAAGCACATGACAAGTGACTTACTGAGTAATTATGATCCTCTGTATATGAGTATACAACCTCATCTGGTCTTATGTCAAAAGCTCCTTTCAGAAGAACAAGCAATGCCTTAACATGGCCACAATCTTCAGCCAAAAAATCTATAACAATAAAAAGACAAATGCTTAAGTATTATTATTGTTGGCATTTAATACTTACATCAAAATAAAAAAATTATTAACTTGTTTCAAAAAACAAAAAAAGGGAAAAAGGAAACAAAACTGAAACATATCAGAAATCCCTTTTAAATCTACTGTACATATAGCAAAGAAGTTTAAAGTTGCTCTTTTTCTTGTTCTTGAATGTCTTAACTAACTGTAGTTGTCTTTTAATATAATCAAGGGAGGTCACTGTTAATTGATTCTTGAAGGGAATCAATTGAAGTACCATGCATACCTTTTTCCATTAATTTCTTTTTTCTAAGTGGAAAAAGACAGGTAACTGGAAGTATCACCAACAGCATTTAAAAAGCAGCCCTTCTATGTATACATGCAATCAACAGATGACTAAAAATGCATTGAGACAGAAATATCCAAAAAAATTCAAGATAGCAATACCAAAGCAATTAGCACTTCCCAGATGTAGATCAGATGCCAATGAATTCACCAGTGATGACCTTCTGGTATCACAGCTACATGTGTAGAGCCAACAGGCACCTCCACCATGGATTGTATGGGTCTTCCTCTCTATGAAGACATATGTAGGATTTTTCCTAAGATAAAAAGTGCATTGGATACAACTGATTAGAATGATTTAAAAATCGATTTCAAAATATAATGGCACAATGACATTGGAAATCCTCCTAGAAAAAAATCTTTTCAAACAAACCTTAAGGGAGGCTTGACAACCACCAAGAGGCAACTGACTCTAGCAATGTTCCCCATTACACTGTGCATGACCATTCAGCGAAAATTTAAATTAATTTTCTTTTTGTTTTGACTGCTGGTTGAAACTGCCTTTTGGCCATGTGGCCACATACAGTGGAACTCAAATGGTGCTAGCAAGAACAGCATAAAGCTACAAGTATGACAAGTGTAGATCATTTAAAAGTCTGGTTATAAATATAAAAATAAATTATTTTGCTTTACCAAAGCCTATTTACCTAGGGCCAATACAAATGTACATAAACAGTGACCCTAATTGCATCACTACACTTTAGCTTAAAAACTACAACTACAACAAAATTAAAATATAAATCCAAATCAAACAAGAAAATTTACATCGGTCCAGATGAATGAAGTATTAAATACCACTAAGAAGAAATACCCACCAAAAACTTGTGTTGACTGTTACCGAACTTGGGAAGGCAAAACCTCAGAGTCTCGTAATCTAGCATGGTTACGGCTTCAAATCGACAGAGAAGCAGCACGTATTCTTGAATAATAGATGGCTGTTCCTGTGATGTTTCAGTTCCCGAACTCTCAGCCTGAATTTGTTTCAATACACCCTGATCTTGCCAAGCGTAAGAGTGCTGTTCCTCACCCAAGTCATCGTCTAGTTCGAGGTCGACCTCGCCAACTGAAAGCATTTCATCGCTTCTGTCTTCATCCAAAGGGGTTGCCGCTAATCTTTTTTTCGAACTTTTTTTTCACACCTTCGACTTCTCTTTGGGTTTTAACTTTGAAAAATTACAAAGTCTCCTGCCATTAAAGTATGTACACAGGATCGAAGCGCTTCCCGTTCGCCATATTGGTACTCTGGACTAAATCAAATGATGAAGATACCAAAAAAAAATAATGATTGAATTGATTTATTCAAAGCGCAGTAGAGTGTTATTAAAAACCATACGTTTCAACCTACTACCTGCACGTCAGTTGCGCATGTTACCGCTGGAAGACGCAGCAGCCTTAAAACGTATGGTTTCTAATGCGCTTTATCAACACGTCAACTCTAGGTATATAATTTATGTAAGGGGGTGTTACGAAAACGAAGACCCTCGAAAACGAAGACCTAAGACCTAAGACCCCCGGTCTTCGTTTTCGTACTACGAAAACTAAGACCCCCGGTCTTCCTTTTCGTAGTACGAAAACGAAGACCGGGGGTCTTAGGTCTTAGGTCTTCGTTTTCGAGGGTCTTCGTTTTCGTAACACCCC